TTTTGTAGTAGTTTTGTTTATTAGCAAGTCTGAGTCTAGCTCTCAGTTCAGGTTTGTTTCTGTAGTTTTCTTTACTGTCATGTCTGAGTCTTGCTCTCAGTTCAGGCTTTTTGTAGTAGTTTTGTTTATTAGCAAGTCTGAGTCTAGCTCTCAGTTCAGGTTTGTTTCTGTAGTTTTCTTTACTGTCATGTCTGAGTCTAGCTCTCAGGTCTGGCTTATTTCTATATGTAATGACACTTAATTGCTTCTTGTGTAATCTGTACTTAGGATTGTCCTTATACAATTTCTGTAACATGATTATTTTGCTTTCCCTTTTCTCAATGTCTTCATTATACAGAGTTCTCTTTCTCCTGTTCTCTCTGCTTATCTTAGATGGAGATAGTATGTCCTTATCACCTTTAAAGTGACAGTAATTACATGAGATTAGGTTAAAACATGTGTTAGTTTTAGCTTTTACACATGCGATTGGCTCATAATGACATTCATTACAGTGTTTCAGATAAATACCCTTGGTGTTGTCTAAAGTACTAGAAGAGCCATATTGTAACCATTTTCCTTGAGTGTAAGTGTAAATATGGGTGTGAAAAAAGTCTGCAGCTGCTTGTATCTCAATCTCTGTAGCCCAGGATCCAACTTTCCTTATTCCTGTTTGTGTAACATACTGCTGTACTGATTCAAATTCCTGTCTGATGTAACTTGAATAGAGGTCAGAATTTTGAAGAATTTGATTAACAACAGCCCTGCGAATCGACCTATGCAACTCTTCATTCCCAGTAATTACAAATGCAAGAGCACGGAAAAAGCAGTTGCCGTCTGGCTGGATGTGTATAGTGGTACAAGGTAACGGTTCATCTAATGTTATACTTTCCCAAAGACTTTTCACCCTTTCTAAACTTGGAACTATCTGTAGTTGGGAGCAAAAGTTTCTTTTGTCTTTAGAAGTCAGAGGATTGAAAGTAACAGTGCTGTTGATATTTTCTGAAACTATGAAAACAGATGTATCATTTTGTGGTACTTCTTCAATTATTGCTTGATCCAAAGAAGTGTGATGATTTTCAGTTACTGAGTCTACATCAAGGGAAGTGGTGTCATTAACTGCAATTTCGTCTATTTCCTGAAGTACTACTTTATCAAAACTATCATCATCAAAACTAGTACATATTGACTCTGCATCATCTTGAAAAGATCTATTTTGCATATGGATGAGCTCACAACGAGATGGAGATTCAGAAAGAGACTCAGATGTGTCACTAACTGCAACATGTTCAATCTCTTCAAGTACTAACTGATCAAATGTATCGTCATCAAAACTATCATCATTTCCACTGATTAACTCTACATCATTTTGGCAAGAAGCAGTTTTCCTTTGGATAGGTTTACTCATAGATTGAGCAGTCACCTTAACACCGGTCATTTCAAAAGCTGTTGCATTGTCAGCACACAAAGAGTGAGAGAGATTGATTAAATGCGTATAAACTTGGTCTAAAGTATCAAAGTGTGCTACTATGCTTGTGCCATTCAACTGCCAGAGACCATCATGACCACGTGAATGTGGATCAAAAACAGAAAACTGAGATTGTTCTTTCAAAACCGCACATGTGTTTCTACTAATTGTAAACAGACAGCCGTCATTGTCAAATATAGCTCTCTGTAATGCAACGTCCAAAGGCATGGCAAAATCTGAAACATCTTCATGGTAAATCTGCTGATGAAGATGTCCTGTGAAGGTCTGCATGTATTCCAAAGAGAACTTGTGATGATGGAATGTGTGCTCTGTGGGTAATTCTTGAACAAAAACATAACCACTGCCTTCTGCATCACTGATCATGTTTTGCTCTTTCATGTAAGTGTATAAACTATCACCACTTATCAAGATATTGTTAATGTCTTTTCTTGACCATGTGGAAGCCATTTTGACAGTGTTTGTCATGATGGCTGTAATGCTGTTTGGTGCACACTGTTTAAATCGGTTGCACCCAAAACGCTTATGGCCTTGATGAAATGAACCTTTGACAATAGAATGAAAAGTGTTCAAACTTTCCTGATTTGATGAGGAAGATGCAATGGTAGCACTTGAAGCTGCAGCACCAGGAGCATCATGGAACTTCTCAGGTTGAACACTCGTCTCCTTACATTCCTGTGAAAACATAAAGACTCAAAAATTAGAAGAAAATCTATGAATAAAATGGGCATGTTTTCACTAGGGGAAAATATCTAACCTGTTGCTTTGTAGCATCTCCTAGGTCAACAGGTCCTTGGTCTTTGAGATCATCTGCATTCTGTTAAAATAAAAAAGTTTTATAATATGTAGGAAATATATGTAGTGGAAAGAATATGTGTAGGATTAAGTATGCTATTAAACATCAATAATCAGAATGTCATAGGTCCTACCGTTTTGTCTTTTGGTACAGGCGATGGAACACTGTATTTGTCGTTCATCTGGAGATGGTGTAGAACCTCAGAGCAGTCTTTCAAATGCTCCTGGGAGTGACAGCAAAGCTGTTGGAAATCACATCAGGATATTTACAATATATTCTATTATTGTGAAATTTAAAATTATTTGTTAAGCACATGATATGATGTCAATAACAACAATCATATTAAAATCCGATGTCAGACCTGGTCCTTGGTGACATCTGTGTGTGAAACCGATCTTCGGTCTTGGACAGCAGCTGCATACTTTTAAAATGAAAAGGTTTATTCAAATAAGCAAATAATATAAGTATTTGAGTAAAAACTTTAGAATGAGCATCATTCAATGAAAAAAAGTCATAGATCTCACCGTTTTGCCATTGGGAGCTGGTGATGGCACACTGGCGTCATCAGTTTTCAATTTCAGCTTTTGAAGGACCACACTGCAGTCCTTCAGGTACTTCTGTAAGTAAATGAAAGGAGTCATTGTAGTCCAAAGGTTTCAAATAAAGGCAACAAAACTGATTTGGTTTCTTTGAATGAGAGTTTATTCACCTGATGACGAGACATCAGTGTGCCACGTGAGCCTTTAGGATGAATGTGAGATGTCTGAAAGAAAATGTCATTCAAGGTTTTATGTTAATTTTTCCATTATTGTAGAAATGTGTATCTCTTAAGCAATATTACTACTTTATATTGTAAAAGCATTGTGAGTGTAAATCTTAATTACCTTTAAACTCTCTGCAAGTGTTGGCCATTCATGATCATCAGAGGGCATGATCACTTGCTCCTTTATTGGTGCTGTTGTAGTGGCAGGAGGTTTCTGGATCATTGTTGCCTGTCCCTGAAATAAAAACAGTATACAATACATGTAATTACTTTGTGCATGTTTTACAGGAGGGCTTGACCAACAAATAGAAAAAAAAATGATAAAAAAGACAAACCTGCATGTTGACAACACTTTTGTCTTTTCCAGAGGACACTGGCTTTCCTTCAGGTTGTACCACCTGTCATCAAAATATGAACATATTGCAAATTCTTAGGTGACAAATATCTCAAATTAATAATGAATTAAAGATTCATATCAAAACGCTTCAATGAAAAAACATATTTCTTCATATTTACCTTTTTGTGTTGGACATCTGGTGAAAGCACATCTGGACTTCCAGTACTGTCTTTTTCCAAGACATGCAGCAGATCTTCATGGAAATATTTAGGATTCACCTCAAAGCAGACTTCGGCCTGAACATTGTGATGTAGAAAATATTAGAAAAACCCATATCAATCAACATGGCGAACATCAAATAAAAAAAAGAATGATCTAATTCATCAAAGAGTTAAAATTAATCATTTACCTCATGAAGAAGAATTCTCTTTGAAGATGATCTCTGCTCCTTTGGACCAGCTGGAGTAGACCTCTGAAAAAATTAATGACATTTTTATATTACATGATTGTTGAAAATCTAAACAGCCAATTAATGTCTGCAGTTGAAATAAAAACATAGAAAAAACAATTTACCTTCTTGCCAGGCAAAACAACTCTCCACTTAGATTGTTCTGCTTGGGGTTGAATGGCCTTTGCATCTTCAACGACCACTCTAGCAGCAGACTTCTTGGAGGTAACCTGGACCTTCTGACTTTGGAGGTGCAGGTATGTTTTTTGCCAGAGCAATTGTGCAAAAATGTCCATACCATCACTGTCACTGAGATGAACCTATAGAAAATAACACATTTTTAGCTAAAGCTAATACCTCTTAATCATTAAAATTCAGTAAGCTTCTCACTTACCCCATCTCTGCCCCACAAATCCAGGCGATGAAAGGGGAAGTTCTCAGCAATTGATGAGTATGGGACATCTGAAAGAAATATATTTCGTTAACAATTAGTTTTTCCAGTTAGAAGCATTTTGTATATTCCACACTAAAATTCAACATACCCATTTGTACTGAGACTCTATGAAACATCATCCTCAGATGGTCCTGCACAACTGTGTCATGGCTCAGTCTTGGAGGGAAATCCAAAACAAAGACCTGTTTTCCACAAATTTTACATGTCATTAAAAAGCATTCTAGAAGAAAGCACCAGAATATAAATTTGATTCAGTAATTGCTTTTCTAATGGCACATTATTTGTAATTACGTCTATCCTTACATTTTGACAAAGAGTGGAAATGGTGTTCAAAAGACGCTTGAAGTCTTTTTCTGCTTCAGAAATTGGACTGTCCAGGTTGTTGCTTGGAGCGAGCAGACACACAACATCTGGAACACGTGGGAGAACTAACTGGCGGACCTCAGTGGTAAGGTGGGCTGCTGTACCACCAGGAACCGACAGGTAGCCAAAGGACAGCTTTCCCTCAGGCACCTTCACATAGCCATCCACAATGGCTCGAAGATGTGAATCTCCAATGACGAAAACAAACTAGAAGAAGAAACAATTGTTTAATGAAGGACCTCTGAAGATAAAAATCGCAAAGCACTTTAGAAACTAAAGAATGCATAGCAATCTGTGTGTGAACCTATAAGCACATAATATTCTTTAATATTAATATAAATTAATAGCTAAATGTACCTTCTTGTCTGAAGACTCTGGTGGGATGACAACCTTCAAGCTTTTGCCTGTGTTAGGCGACAAGGGCCAACGACAAACCCTGTGCCTGAAGCCTGTTCCGTGACCTAATGGAAAGATAAAAAATAAATTAACACAATATCAATGTTATGTAAATATGTAATTGTAAAGTGGGTCATATTAATTTATCTGAATTTTGTCAGTATGCATACACCATGTCAGTTTCAAAATATGCAACAAAGACTTTCAAAAAAACATTTGATGTTTTGGAAAATAACTAAATATGTAACTTACGTGGAGTAAAAGCCGTACAGCTTGGCACAACCTCGAACAGCTCCTCCACAGGCTTCGGCATAAACTGTCTGCTCTTCAAGGCCTGAGCTTTACGGTACCCTTTGCCACGAGGCATCTACAAATGGAAAAAAAATACCATAAATTCAGCACTATGCATTATCACTAATCAAATACATTACACACTAATGTAATATCATGTATTTATTCTATTAAATAGATGATATAGAAACCTGAGGGAATGTATATCTTCTACTTAATGGACAGAATACCTATTAAGCAATAAAGACCTGTCTTGTTATTGGTCATTAGTATTTCTTTGTATGTATTTATATTTGAAGTTGTTCAAATGAAGACAACTGGACTTCTTTGGTTTCTTGAAGACATTTCTCTTCTCATCCATCACTTCAAACTGGAATATGGGAGAGTCAAGCCTATAAGCTGTAGCTGTTTATTGTTATTCAACGATCCCAAACTACTGTGGGTTCCTAGGCTCTCCATCACCTGATGAGTCGCTAGCCTCTATTGTGAGGGATTCAAAATGGTGCCGCAGATGACTGCCTTCGTAATTTGGTGCACAGTTTTTCTTGCTTCTTTTTTTGTTGCATCTGTGGCCGATTCAATATCAACTTTGATCAGGAAAGTGAGACGCAGGAGGAGAGATAAATGAGCGGGCGTTCTAGTGCGTCTGAGGAGACGGGGACTGCGCTCGGCTCTACCTGGGATCTTCCTCTCTAATGTGCACTCACTCCGCAACAAAATGGACGAGCTGACCCTGATGAGGAACATAAACAGGGACTTCTCCTCATCTGGGGTTCTGTGCTTCATTGAAACATAGCTCAGTGAGGACACCCCCGACTGCGCGCTCCAGCTGGAGGGGTTTCACCTCATCCACGCCGATCGCAAAGAGACTCTCACCAGCAAGACCACAGGTGGAGGTGTGTGTTTTTGCATGAATATTGGTTGGTGCACAGATGTCACAGTGATCGTGCAGCATTGTTCTCCATCTCTGGAATATCTTTTCACAAACTGAAAACCATTTTACTCTCCGCAGGAATTCGCCTCATTCATTCTAGGCGCTGTTTACATCCCACCTGACACGGACGTGCACAAGGCTCAGCGTGCAATCGCTGAAGAGATACTGTGTATGGAGCAGACGTACCCGGACTCCCTCATCATTGTACTTGGAGATTTTAACAAAGCAAGTCTGAGCCAGGAGCTTCCCAAATATAAACAGTATATCGAATGTCCAACCAGAGAGGAGAAAACCCTGGACCACTGTTACAGCACAGTAACGGGAACCTGTCATGCAGTGGTGCGCGCTGTGCTTAGACTCTGTTCACTTGACCATCCATCTGATCCCAGCTTACAAACAAAGGCTAAAACTCTCCAAGCTTGTTGTGAAGTCAACAAGACAGTGGAACACTGATGCTGCAGATGAGCTTCGCCCATGTTTTGAGACCACAGACTGGGAGGTAATAAAGGCCACCTCAGACAGTTTAGATGAGTTCACAGATACCGTCACCTCCTACATCCACTTCTGTCAGGACAGTATTATACCATCACACACCAGGGTGAGTTATAACAATGACAAAGCCTGGTTTACCCCTAAACTCAAACAGCTGTGGCTAGAAAAGAGAGATGCATTCAAAAGGGGGGACAAGGACTCCTACAGAGACACTAAATACAGGTTCAGCAAAGAATTGGTCAAAGCAAAACACCAGCATCATGACAAAATGCAGCAGCAAATCTCTGAAAATGACCCAACCTCTGTGTGGAAAAGTTTCAGGAACATCACCAACAACAAACCCAGAACCCCCACCTCCACCGATAATCTGCTCTTGGCAAAAAAACCTAAACAATTTCTATTGTCGGTTTGATGTGCCATCAGGCAGGCCTCACTCCTCGTCCAGCCCCAACAATAGAGACATTGGTCAGCCACTCCTCACTACAGAGCCATCACCATCACTGTGGAATTTACCTTCATCACCCTCCCCCTCACTCCCCACCCATGAGGTCTTCACATCACACACCTCCATCACAAACCTACACATTCATTAAGCAGATGTAAACAAGCAGTTCAGGTCTCTTAACACATGAAAAGCCCTGGGGCCCTGATGGTGTGGTTCCTGCCACTCTAAAGCACTGTGCTGAAAAGCTGGCCCCAGCTGGCCCCACCATCACCCATGACCTCAAATGGGAGCCCACCATCACCATCATCAGGAAAAAAGGCCCAGCAGAGGATGTACTTCCTGAGGCAGCTGAAGAAATTCAACCCATCACAACAGTCAATGAGGCAGTTCTACACCACTATAGAGTCCATCCTCACCATCATTTAGAACAGAGGAAAGAGCCACAGCGAACTCCACTTCAGTCGCCATATTTATGACAAACTCAGCATTGTTGTGTGTGACGTACGCTACCCAGCGCTTATTATCAGCTCAGCTACATTATAGGTACTGGAAAGGTGAAATCGAAGCCCCCCATTTCTAGTTAAAGTTTTTTTTCCCCATATTTGGCATAGATAGCTTATTTTACTCCTCCGTCAAACCATATATCTTCTCTGTCCAGAATATATGCTTTATCAGGAGTGTCCCTTGTCCTTCAGGTGTAGGTGAACTGCAGTCTTCACCTCGTTGAAGAATAAGACATGTACAGCGTATAAGATTGACTCTCTCATATTCCACTTAGACACAACAAAGCTCCTCAGATGAGAAGCAAAATGTCTTCACGAAACCAAAGAACTCCGTGACTACCAGAGAGGAGAAAACCCTGGATCACTGTTACAGCACAGTAACAGGAACCTGTCATGCAGTGGCGCGCGCTGCGCTTGGACTCTGATCACTTGACCATCCATCTGATCCCAGCTTACAAACAAAGGCTAAAACTCTCCAAGCCTGTTGTGAAGTCAACAAGACAGTGGAACACTGATGCTGCAGATGAGCTTCGCTCATGCTTTGAGACCACAGACTGGGAGGTAATAAAGGCCACCTCAGACACTTTAGATGAGTTCACAGATACCGTCACCTCCTACATCCACTTCTGTCAGGACAGCATTATACCATCACACACCAGGGTGAGATATAATAATGACAAAGCCTGGTTTACCCCTAAACTCAAACAGCTGTGGTTTGAAAAGTGAGATGCAATTAAAAGGGGGAGGGGGGGGGGACTCCTACAGAGACACTAAATACAGGTTCAGCAAAGAATTGGTCAAAGCAAAACACCAGCATCATGACAAAATGCAGCAGCAATTCTCTGAAAATGTTGGAATTTACCTTCATCACCCTCCCCCTCACTCCCCACTCATGAGGTCTTCACACACCTTCATCACAAACCTACACATTCATGAAGCAGCTGTAAACAAGCAGTTCAGGTCTCTTAACACATGAAAAGCCCCGGGGCCCTGATGGTGTGGTTCCTACCACTCTAAAGTACTGTGCTGAAAAGCTGGCCCCAGCTGGCCCCACCATCACCCAAGACCTCAAGTGGGAGCCCACCATCACTACATCAGGAAAAAAGGCCCAGCAGAGGATGTACTTCCTGAGGCAGCTGAAGAAATTCAACCTATCACCACAGTCAATGAGGCAGTTCTACACCACTATAGAGTCCATCCTCACCATCATTTAGAACAGAGGAAAGAGCCGCAGCGAACTCCACTTCAGTCGCAATATTTATGACAAACTCAGTGTTGTTGGGTGTGATGTACGCTACCCAGCACTGATTATCAGCTCAGCTAAATTATAGGTACTGGAAAGGTGAAATCAAAGCTCCCCCATCTCTAGTTAAAGGTTTTTCTTCCCACATTTGACATAGATAGCTTATTTTACTCCTCCATCAAACCATATATCTTCTCTGTCCAGAATGTAAGCTTTGTCAGGAGTGTCCCTTGTCCTTCAGGTGTAGGTGAACTGCAGTCTTCACCTCGTTGAAGAATAAGACATGTACAGCGTATAAGATTGACTCTCCCATATTCCACTTAGACACAACAAAGCTCCTCAGATGAGAAGCAAAATGTCTTCACGAAACCAAAGAACCCCATAACTGAGACCCTTCACTAATGTACACCAAAATGCTGTTGAGAGTTCTCAGTCATCCAGGTCATGGTAATCCAATAGGATTGTGTTCAAATGAACATAACTGGACTTAATTGCTTTCTTGAAAATGTTTTGTTTCTCACCGAGAAGTTTTATTACATTGTTGTTGAAGCTTTGATGAGAAGCAAAACATCTTAACTCTAACCCCTTTGAATGAATTTGCACCAAAACTAGTTAAGTATTTGGAGCTGTTCCAGTGACATTGCAATGGATCAGAAAAACTGCCATATCTGGGTTCACTTTTTATTTAAAAAAACACTCATAGATGCTTTCTTTATAAACAGTTATACCCATAAACATTTTTAGTTTAATATGTATTTCTGAAACCTTACCTTGGCAGGTTGTAGCGGTTGTAGTTGGCAAATCAGGAAACAAAATCTTCAAAGAAGATGGAGAAATGCACAAACAAAGCTACTAAAAGTAAAAGATGGCTTCCACTTCACAGCAAAAACTGAGAAAGTTTTGACCCAAAAAGGTTTTACCAAGTAAATGGCACAGTGGCTGAACAGCATGACCTTTTTATCACCAAAGAGGTGGGCCAGGTTACCGCCCACCTATTGATACGCTAAATGCAAGGGTGTGGCTTTCCTGTAAGTCAGAGAAAACAACATTTAAGAAATGAACTTATATAACTTCTCTTCTATTTGTAAAAGTTTAAAAGTTGGTTTAACATCATCACATTTTACAAGAACACCAAACCTCTATTGAGTAAATATATGTTTTTTTTTTAATACAACAACATTTTAATGAAATCTTTGTAAGAGCAGAATCACTTTTGGCACATTTTTATCTGTCTATACACTTTTTCTCTGGTAGGGTTTAGAAATAGGTTATTTCACCAAATGATGATGAATATGAACGTTTAGTAACACATGTGAACATTGTGACATTAAAGTAGCTCTCAAGCTGAAATTAGGACTGGACAGTTGTAATGTTTTTATGCTCTGATCATGTCAAAACTGCAATTTATTCAGAACACTGCAGCCATAGTTTTAAAAAGAACCTAAATAACTGAGCAAAACACTCCTATTCTTAAATTTTTAGATTGAACTATGCATTTACAGCTAGCTAATCAAAAGTACAACTGCTGTTTTCTAAATCACTTCATGACAAAATATAGTTAGACCTCCCTTGTAATATCTACATCCAGTAAGAAGCCAAGATCCTTAGAAAGGTGGTAGACCCCTAGGTCACACAGGGTAAAGCTACCTACTTACATATTGAATTAGTTTCCTTAAGACTTAAAGTTTGCTCCAAGTCTAGCAACTTTTAAATCAACTTTGAAAACGTTTTTTCTTTTCACTGGTCCTTCTGAATTGAAAAAGCTCAGGCTTTAATTTTGTGCAATTCTAATTTATTAGGATGAATGTGATATTTAAATCTAATAATTTCTTTCATAGTGATTTTAAACGTGTCTGTTTTGTGCTGACCTTTTGATTTAAAATCAAATGTGTTATGATGTAACAAATTGACCCTTTTGAAGTCAGTGGTATTTCTTACATCTAGAAAACAAATAGCATTTGTGTAGGAAGTTTTTCTTGCATTGCCTAAACCTATAAACAAGTCAACATTTAGCACAAAGCTTGTCTTGCAAGAATTACACCCCCATTCTGACAATGACATTTAAAATGGAAATGACAGTAAACAAGAACTGAAAAGACATGCATCAGAAAAACACACAATGAAAAGACCTTATCAAAGACTATTGACTTTTGGAGCCTGTATTTGCAGTACCCACCTTCACCTCATTATGATGCAAGACAGACACTTTTAGTGTAAATCTAAGTAAACATCTGACCATATTTAAGGAATGAAATCACAATTTTAGACAGTAAGAAGGTTTAAATGGTGTAGTTAAAACTTTGAACATATAATCACAGTATTGGGAGGTTAGCTTACATTTTTAAATGTAATTAATGACACTTTTTTCTAAAAAATCTTGAGTTAGTAGATCCCTAGGTCAGATAGGGTAAAGCTACCTACTAACATATTGAATTAGTTTCCTTATCACTAGAACTCTCAGAGAGCTGCCATTTGGCACTGTTGTTTTCGCCTAGCATTCCTAATAACTTGTGATTGTTTGTCTATGTTCTGTAAATCACTTCAAGAAATGCTGGTGCTCACCTCACCTTCCCCTCTTGCCTGTTTTTTTCTAGCAGTCAGGTAAAGACGCAGCTAGAGAAAAACCAGAGACACAAGAATACTCAACAAGAGTGTCTTCAGTCAGAGGCTACATGCAGGATATAATGACAGGAGCATACAGGAATCTGTAAAACCAGATTTTTTTTAATAATTACTATGTTTGTAGCCTTTATAGCTTATGTTGCAATCACAACTTGTGTGCTTATCTGAAGTCTTCACAAAGTCAGTCATAAATTATTTTGGGTGGGCAAGTGCAGTTGACCAGATTCAACAGAAGCCCTTTTTACAAAAGGGCCACAAAGTGCTCAGGCAATCCAAGAAAGCATTATGGTTTTATTAAAACAATAAACCTTCAAACGCACAGGCCTTTTGTGGATGTTTTCTATTGCAACTCAAACAATTTTGGGGGAATAATGCAGGTTAACTGCAATGCAGGCTCCGATTGCCCAGGTTCCAAAAGAAGGTTCATAATAGCTGTGAAGAAGCTGCTTTTCAGGTGTTGAAAACATGCCAGACTCTTGAAAAGGCCTCAGGTGATCAGCTACATCTGAATAGGATTTATTTTTCAGGTTACCTGGCTGCACTCTCATGTAAAAAGAAACAGTGAAAAGTGAAACTTCTTCAATCCTTTGAGTTTTGATGTGATCTGTTCTCTGTCTCGGCTGAAGCCACGCTCCTTGAGTGTTTTAGACAAACCCTCAAAGAGGTGGCTGTCCGTCACAGTTCCTGAGAATTGTCTGGCTACTTCTGCCTCTGAATGTAAAGACAGAAGTTCACAGATCTTATGTCACTCCAATTAGCCATGTCCGCTGCTTGTTTACTAACTTTCCCATGTTTATGTGGTTTATATACTCTTTCCAGTTGGGGGTCGCCACACATTTGCTACTCCATTTGACATCTTCCTCTGTTGTGGCAAGGTGCAATCGCTGTTAATAGCACAGACAATTACCGCAAAATTACTACCAAGCAAGGCGCAACAAATGCAGCAAAATTCGCACTACGCCGTTTATCAAACACACTATTGCGGTAATGTTACGTTGATTTGCCGGCACAGTTTGTCTTGTAAAAAGAGCTTGTGAGTCATTTTCTACCAGGGCTAAAGGCTAAAGAGGCAAACAAAATGAGGCCAACCTAAATGAAAATTTTCCGCTCCCCAGCATTCCTTCACATTCTAATAGGCCGTTGTTTGTGCTTTGCACAGAGAATGGCTGCATTTACAAATGAAAGGCAGCTAATTGTCAGTGGCTGAGTTGTGATTCTCAAACCAAGGAGCCATTTGGCTATCTCTGGTCGAGCTGAGGGGGTCAGATAATCCTGGTAGTTCTAGTCTTAATCAGAATCAGAAAAACTTTATTTATCCCCGAGGGGCAATTAAAAAAAACAGCAGAGCAGCATGATGTTGGACATTCGAACATAGAATAAATAGGCAATAAGGAAGTAATAAAGCAGCAAGAAGATGGATAAAACAGTAAAATATGCAAAAAACACTGAGTAAGTGAATAAGGGGACTAAAGTGTCGTCTGTATAAAAGTTAAATACACGGAGAGCCCAAGGAGAAGGTTTAACGGGGGATGGTCTTATCTTATCTGCTGGAGTTAAAGAGCAGAATGGCTTTGGGGACAGAATGGCTTTGGCTCTTCTCCTCTCAGTCTTACAGGAAATGCAGTGGAGGCGTCGCCCAGAGGGGAGCCATTGAAATGCGGGGTGAAGAATGTGAGAGGGGTTGTGGAGGATTTTGGCTGCCCGTCTCAGGGCTTGTTGATACCTGAGCAAGAGTTCTGACAGGCAAGCCCATGATTTTGGAACACACTGATGCAGTGTGCTGCAGTCTGTTGTTCCTGTTCTGGAGGCTAAGGGAGTAGAACCAGCAAGTGATGGAGAAGGTCATGATGCTTTCCAGGAAGGCACAGTAAAAAGTCATCATGACTGAGGAGCTGACTCCAAAGGAGTTGAGCTTCCTAAGGAGATATAGCCGTTGGTGGCATTTCTCTGTGTTAGCAGAGAATTTCAGGAGGTTGTCAAAGGTGGTTCCCAGATACTTGTACTCCTCCACTACCTCCACTGGGTTCCCATGGATAATGGTGGTTACTGAAGCAGCCGGATCCCTCTGCCTCCTGCAGAAGGTCACCGCCACGTCTTTGGTTTTGCTCACATTCATTTCAAGTTTGGAGCTGTCCCACCACTCTACAAACTCCTGAAGAGCAGGTCCGTGGTGTTGTGAGGAGCCTGACAGCAGTGATAGGAGGACTGTATCAACAGCGTATTTCACCAGGTGACATTTGGGATGTGTGGATCTGCAGTCGTTGGTGTAGAGGATGTAGAGCAGGGGGGAGAGCACACAGCCCTGGGGGGAGCCGGTGGAGGTGGAACGGAGACCGTAGGGACAGTTGTTGACCCGAACTTTCTGAGTCCTGTTGGTTAAAAAGTCCAGTATCCACAGCGTTAACTGGTCATCTAAATTAAATTGGGAGGAAAGTTTAGTAGCCAGGATGTGAGGCTGCAGAGTGTTGAATACTGATGAAAAGTCAACAAGCAGAAGTCTGTCGGAGGAGTCGGGGAGCTCCAGATGTTTGTGGATGGAGTCCACGATGAAGATTTTTGCATCATCGGCGCCTCTGCGTGCACGATAAGCAAACTGGGGTGGATCCATCAGGAGCTCAGTTGCTCTCACAATGTGCTCTTTTTTGATCTTCTCCATGGCCTTCATCACCAAGGAGGTGAGCGCTACAGGACGAAGATCATTAGGAGACTTTGGGTTGCTTCTTTTTGGGACAGGGATAACTGTGGAGTGTTTCCACAGCTGGGGGACGGTGTGACTGTCAAGTGAGTGTTGAAATAGAGTCTGGAACACATTTCCTAGCTGCTCTGCACAGTGCCTCAGAACTCTACTACTGATGTTGTCAGGGCCGGGTGAGCTCCTCTCCCTGGTCCTCCTGAGGGCTCTCACCACGTCCTCGGTCTGGAAGGTGAGTGCAGAGCTGCCAGGTTTGAGTGAGGATCTGGACTCCTCAAGCTGGGTGATATTGTCCATCTCAGACCTGGTGTAGAAAGCGTTGAGGTCGTCAGGGAGGGAGGTGGGGTTGCTGCCCTCCACTGGATGGTTCTGGAGGTGGTGACCACAGTATTCACAGCAGCCATGGTTTTGAGCCCCTGCCAGGCTGAGTGAAGGTCCCCTGTGGTAAATTTTTTTCCCACATTGTTTTTATATTTCAGTTTAGCAGCTTTAATGGCCCTCTTGACCTCCCTATTGACTTCTTTCTTATCCTGTGCAGAACCGGTGAAGAAAATCCTCTTTTTTTTGTTAGGGATTTCCTTTAGCTTCTTGGTGATCCAAGGTTTGTTGTTGGGGTAGATGGTGACTTTTTTTGAGGGAATGATGCTGTCTACACAGAAGGAGATGTATGATGATACTGTGTCGACTTGATCGTTGATGTGATCAGAGGAAGAAAGAAGGCTGACCCAGTCAGTGGCCTCAGAACATCCTTGTAGGGTGAGAATACTTTCCGCTGTCCACTGCTGGATGCTTTTGGTCACCTTTTTAATCCTCTTGATGACTGGGGTG